GAGGTTTATTTAATTAGATTTCCTGTAACTAGCCACTGCATGCCTACAGGAAATAATGAGAGGTTTATTTGATTAGATTTCCTGTAACTAGCCACTGCATGATACAGGAAATAATAAGAGATTTATTTAATTAGATTTCCTGTAACTAGCCACTAAATGCTACAGGAAATAATGAGAGGTTTATTTGATTAGATTTCCTTTAACTAGCTACTGCATGCCAGCATGATATAGTTAGAGGGTTATTTGATTACATTTCCTGTAAATAGCCACTGCATGCCTACAGGAAATAATTAGAGGTTTATTTAATTAGATTTCCTGTAACTAGCCACTGCATGCCTACAGTAAATAATTAGAGGTTTATTAATTAGATTTCCTGTAACTATCCACTGCATGCCTACAGGAAATAATGAGAGGTTTATTTAATTAGATTTCCTGTAACTAGCCACTGCATGCCTACAGTAAATAATGAGAGGTTTATTTAATTAGATTTCCTGTAATTAGCCACTGCATGCTATAGGAAATAATAAGATGTTTATTTAATTAGATTTCCTGTAACTAGCCACTGCCTGCCTACAGTAAATAATGAGAGGTTCATTTAATTATATTTCCTGTATTAAGATTGAATTTGGTACCATTTTAAGAAGGAGAACTTGAAAAAAACGTATATAGTCCCTTTAATTAGGCGTACAAATCTTTGAATCAGTTATCAAAGTTCATCTTGAAAACATTATTTAAAATTTTCAACAAAAAATTTTGATACAATAAAAAAAATTTCCTTTAAATTTTGTCACCGATGTTTGCATGCAATACTAATTGTACCTAATTGCAGTTACTACAGATATGGAGAGGTTTATAGGCGGCTCTCCAATACCTGAAATGTCAAATATATGTATTCGCTTGGTTTATCTTGAGGACAGAAAAGTGCTTTTAAAAAAGCTGGAAACTTTTTTTAGAGGTCGTAACTTTTACAAAAGACAATCTGCAACGCCTAAATTGGACCTCTGCAGTAGAAATCTAATTAGATTAAGTGCTGAAATGTGAAAACAGCTGGCTCGTCTTACTGAAATCTCTAATTGGAAAAAAAGAATTTTTTTGGTTTCTGATAGATCATCGAAAAATTTAGCTAAAATTTGCGTATTATTGTTTTCTAATGGGAGATTATCAATACACACTTTCCGTCCTTAGATTCAAATGTGAAATGTTGTAAATCAAAATTTAAATATAAAATAAATAAAATTCACTTGAACTGAATATATTATTGATATCTGATGCTAACTTGTATTCCCTCTAGTTTCTACAGATATTAAACAAAAGTGAAAACTATTGTCAACAGAAATTGATGTCATGCAGGGAAATTTTTTATCTAAAACTTTATTATAATTTTTAATATGATTTTATTAATACATAAAACCCCCCCACTTTTAAAGTTAAAAAGCACAATAAAGCTAATATTTTAGCTGAGAGACATTCCATTTAATTTTGATAATTTTGATATTTCACCTAATAGCTCCCTATGACCAGAATATTTTTTGATACTTTGACAAGGTTATAATGCAAGGAAAATTAATTGGGGTTGTGTATACTCTGCGTACATATCGAAACCATTTCTCTTTGGGCGGAATTTGTAAACAAGAATAGATGCATCTGCAGTGTTCGTCTAGTATCTGAGTAGGATTAAAGCATTTAATTTTGATAATTTTAATAATACACATAATAGTTTCCTTTAACCAGAATAATTCTTTGATTATTTTTGTGAAAATGGATTCCATGTCAGGCTGTGGAATTCTTCTTGTGTTTACTTTTCCGGCAAAAATGGTACGCAAAATGCGTACACCTCTGAAATAACTTTCCTTGCATTAGTACTTTTTCTCTCCTGTTAGAGTCAACTTATTTTGTTTATTTCTTATCTTAAAATCAAAAGTGACCACAATCCTAAAAATCAGAATGTTTAATAGAAAATAAGTTTAGATTTTACCCTTTGAAGAAAACACAGCTTCTTTCTTTGCCCTACTATTCCTCAATAAGGTGACATTAAACTCCTGAAAAAGAATAAAATGTTTTTTCTCTCGAACAATACAAGTGAACTTATTACTTAATTGCGATGATTCCTGTTACTAACAGTAAAGATGGGCATCGTTTTTGTGAACAAACAAAAGTTTTGAACGACATTTTTTATTAGCGATGGTGTTGTTCAGAAAAAAATATGAACAAACGACTTCAACTGAACAATCGTTAAGTTAAAAAATTAACGATAATTTTGAGAATAAACAAAAAATTTTAAACACTCAATCAAACGAAAGTGCATACGATGAACTAGCAAAATGAAAAAATCCAAACCTGCCTATCTCTAACTCATTCATGATATTACAAACAATAGTCATCGATTACTTTTCGACGCATTTGTATATAGTTAATATTTCATAATATCTTTGATTTTGATTCATAAAATAATATTTCACTGGCGCAGGATTTTTTAATATTCCTGGAAAATATCAAAATGTCGTCTTCATTATCAAAAATCCTCGAAACAGGAATAAATGTTTTAAAAGTAACTCTCAAAATATAAAAAATCAAAACTATTATGAAATATTAACTAGATATGTATACAACGAAAAATAATTAATTATTTTTAGGTGTAATATCTGAATGATTTGTTTGGAATTAAATTGATTATTTTACAGTCCGAGTTTAATGTTACAACTTTCTTAATTTGTATAGACAATACGTTCTTCAGCATGAGTCGTTTTTAGCAATTTTCTCATTATAGACGCAACAGATAGAAGTAAGATTAGTCGCGATCAAAAGCGCTTATTTTTTGCCAAAAGCCTATACCCCCTGTAATTTTTCGCGAATAAAAAACTATTCTTATGATACCATCAAAATATTATGCTAAAATGAAAAACCGGATTTAACTCCAAAAAGGCTACATATGATCTAAATGCTAAATCCATTTCTTTTAGAAACATCTATGTGCTTTATACAGTAAAATGTTCAATAAATTATCAGTAGAAATAATTTTTATTTGTTCACCTGAGGTATGTCAGATATTGTCGGCACTTTGTACGTACTAAGGTTATATCAAAATTCAAGAATTTAATAGAATTTAACAAATTTTGAGGGAAAAAACAGGAAAACATTGAACTTAATTCACATCACTTAAAAAGCAAGTCCCAAATATAGTTTTAAATCAAACTTAGTTTGAATCAAAAGTTAGCTCCACAAATGCATGGGATTTAAATGAATAGTTAAAATTGTTTTTGAAACCATTCCTTACATTTACAGTAGCAATTTCTCCTTCTTTTCCATGAATTAGCTCCTCCATTGTTACATAGCCATAGCCTACATTGGGTCATATTAATCTTTAAAAAAAATTAACAATTAAATTTTAAAATATTTAATTATTAAAATATTTAACCAGTTTTACCATCCTCCCAAAAAAAAAGTTTTTCATATATTTTTAATAATCCCTCCATGTTTGTTATTAATTAGTTTATATTATGAATATAACGATTGATCCATGGTTCATCATAATACCTTGTACAAAGGCTCCTTCTATCTGCCCAATATCAATAGCAGGGTTTAAACTTTGTCCTTAAAGTGCAGAATTTTAAAATTTAGAAAAATATTCTGTAATAGGGTTAAATAAAAATTTCTTTTGATCCCTTTTAGAATAAAACGGCCAAATTGTATTTGATAAAAAATGTCAAATCTTTTTTGCCCCAGCCAATATTTATCCAGTAGAAAATTAGAAGTAAAAAATTGAAAAAATTTAAACTGATTCAGAAACTAACAATTTAAAAAACAGAGATCATAAGAGAAGGTCTATTTTTATTTCTAATATAATTTAATTTAATGTTAAAAAAATACTTTTTGATACTTTATACAAATTAATACCTTTCCAGAACCAATTTTTTGCTTATAATTTGCTTTAATTTCAATGAATTTTAACAAAATTTATGTTTCTGAACTCAGTGTTTCAAGACGGTTATTTTGTTACACATCTTGACTTACTTCATCAAAATTTTTTCTGTCTTAAAGTAGTGATTTGATTTACAAACAAACAAAAAAGTTGAATAAGGTAGAAAACTATGAAAATTTTTTAAAGCTCTTCTTAAAATATATCAAAGAAAAGATTAAAACTAGTGCGAGGTAGATTTGAGCATCAAAAAAGTGCCTCCTACTTAGATCAAGTGTTAACAATAAAAATTATATTGGGTTATTAACTTTATCAAATTATAATCCCAGTGATTTCAATTGTTTTTCTTTATTGCAATAATTTTATCATGGTTAGTTCTGAACTTTCCTACGTCCATAACAATATCCGTCTTCAGAACCTGGTGGTATCCTGATCAGTATTCAAACATTAAAATTGGACTTTTTAAAAACTGTAAAGCTTTAAGTTTTAAAGTTTTAAGACTCTTTGTAAACCAAAATGATTATTTTTAGTTTGAATTTTCCTGTAGAGCAGTCCACTTCAACAATACTGCAAGCAACTCCATTAGTCAAATAGTTAAACGTCACCCCTAAAATTATCAAATATAAAAGCCGTAACTAACTGCTTTGACTGTTTTAAGATTAATTTATTTATTAGGCATAAAATGTCAAACCTGTGTTTTCCTTTATATTGTAATCTACTTGTGATCTGTTGTAGAATCCAAAAGCTGAGAGCTGTATCCTTTGGAAGTAAGCAAGAAAAATAACCTTCTCCCAAGGCATGTTGGGATTGGCATCTCTAATTGGGGCCAGTTTTTCAACAAGCTCTTCACAGGCTAAAACCACTGCATGGCCATTCAGGTCTGTTGCAGTACTTCCAGCTGTAAAGATAATTATTTTGATGATATTATCACAAATTAAGAATTTGAAAATCTAAAATATTCCTGTTACCTGTGGTTGTAGCATTGACATTTGTTTCTGTGGAAGTTTCAACTAGGTGAATCTTTTCGATTGGAACCTGTAGAACTGTTGATGCAACTTGAAGCATCTTAGTATGTAAACCTTGTCCAACCTCTACTCCCCCATGTGAGACAAGAATGGATCCATCGATGTAGATCCTTACATAAGCTGATCCCTGGCTTCGGAACTTAGCAGGAATGAACGGAGTGAACTTACAGGGAATGATTGATATTCCTCGCTTGATCTTCTTGTTAGCAGGATCATTGTTAAAATTTTCAACTTCTTTTCTCATCTCAAAATAGTTACTTTGGTCAAGACACTGCTCCCAGCATTTCAGGAGATTGTCATCACAAATAATTCCTTCACCTTGGTGCAAAAGATCCCCTTCTCTTGTCAGATTCTCACGTCTTACCAATGCAGGATCCTTGCCTGTAAGATGAGCAATTCGCTCTATACATTCCTCCATCACACAAGTTCCCTCTGGACCACCAAATCCCCTGAAAGCTGTATTAGATTTCAAATCAGTTTTTCTGGGGTTGGCTGAAACATTGAAGTTCTTAATTGTATACCCAGCATCTAATCTCATAGCCAGAAACATACTCCAAACAACAGAAACATCTCTGAAGCTTCCAGCATTGACGTCACATTCGATTTTGGCACTGGTAATTTTTCCAGAATCATTGAAATTTACATTATAACCTGCATGCACTTCATGGCGATGACCCATTGCAATCAAATCGCTGGTTCTTTCAAAAATCATTCTACAGGGTCGCATAAGTTTCTTGGCAGCTACTGCTGCTATCAATGAGGGTAATGATCCCTCTTTTCCACCAAATGCTCCCCCAAGGCGCCTTATTTTAACAATAACCTTATTCATAGGTATACTTAGTGCACTAGCTACTGCTGATTGGACTCCTGTAGCATTTTGAGTTGCAGCATAAATGATGAGCTCATTTTTTTCTGTTCCTGGAACTGCAATTGCTGACTGAGGTTCCATATATATATGAAATTGCCCACCAAGCTTTATCTTTCCATCAAATGAGTGAGTTGATGACTTTTGGAGGGTTTCATCTTGGTTTCTTTCAATGAAGGACTTATCACCAATGCAAATATCTTTCTCTACGGCTTCAGCAATAGTTACAAGTGCAGGATTACTTTTGTATGTTATCTTGACAAGTTTAACAGCTTCTTTTCCAGCTTCAATAGTTTCTGCAGCAATGGCACCAATAATCATTCCATGAAAATTGACATCTTCCTTGGGTAATATTGGTGTATCAGGAGGACCTGCATTGGCATACATGTTTAGCCCTGGTATATCTTCTGCTGAAATCCATGCAACCACACCTGGCACCAACATTGCATCCTTGGTACACAGCTTGACTATCTTAGCATTTGCCATAGTGCTGTGGATTGGAACAAGTTTTAACTCACCTACAAAGTTTGGAATATCATCAGTAAACTGTGCTTCACCAGTACACTGCTCAGCTGCTGATAAGTGGGCTATTGGTCTTGTTATTGGATCAACAGAGCTTTGGGATGAGTTAACTTTTTCAAACAGCTGGTGGGCACTTGGCTTATTCAAAACAGTTTTCTTCGAAACCATTATATCATTCAACATCTCAGCAATGATTCCAATTTTGTATTGATCAGCCTTTAAGCCCAAATCAGTCTTGATGGCTTCCAACAGTGCAGCAGAATTGTCAGCAAACCCACTTTTCTTGGAAGTGAAAAGTTTTTCAAGGTTCAATGCTCTACTTGAGTCTTGTAAAGTGCACTGCTTGACAGCAAGGTCAATTCCACCAATAACAATGATGGTCTTTTTTATATTGTTGGTAAAATTAGTGTACAATGCCATGTTGACCACTGCCAGCTCGACTGTTTTACGACGAGCTTGTTTACAGAAGACAATGATGTCATTAACAGTATTATTTGGAATAAAGACTCCAACTACAAGATCTCCATGCTTTAACTTTCTATTGACTCCAGGTCCCACAGAAACCTGTCTATGCCCATCTCCATTCTCCACTATTAGTACAGCTTCTGCAACTGTCAGAATAGGGAGCATATCAGAACCAGGGTGTCCCCAGAGAACTCCTCCGACCAATGTAGCAATATTTCTGAATTCAGAGAATCAATAAATTATATCTAATTGGAAAAAGTTGCATCTTAAAAGCCTTACCTTAGCTGCACAGATGCAATCTTTGCAGCATTATCTCTGAGAACCTTGACTGCCTTATGCTTTACAGGATCCAGGTGGTGTAACCCTTCCACCAATTCAGTATAAGTTACTCCTATCAAACATTAGAATAAACACATGTTTTCTTTCTAAATTTTAAGTTATTACCTGCTCCGATAAGAACCCCATCAGCTTTAGTAGTTATGACTAAAACAAACAAAGGTTATAAGTAACTTAATGAATACTGAAGACTAGTTTCACCTACCCTTTAGAGATGGAATTGAAGTAAGAAAGATAACCTCCATTGGTGAATCATCATAATCAAACTTTTTGTAACCACCTTTGCTAATATATCAATTATTTTAAAGTCAGAGACCAATTTTCCAAGAATTTGCAACTAAATTGTAAAGCTAGTTTGAATAATTTAATTTTAATTGCACACATTCCTGTTCCGCCTTGACGAAACACAGCTTTAGGGAACTGTTTACTCAGACTCAAGGCTTCATCTACTGTTGTTGGATAAAACCATTTCTTCCCATCAGATTGGAAGGTTATGCACTTCATCTGAAAATTGGATTTTTATAAAGGGTCAGTAAATGAATACAGATTTTTTTAAAATGTCTAGATTAAAATTCACCTTTTCAACGTTGTTCAAGATTTTCTTTGTGCTTTCGGAGATACTTAGATCTTCAGGTTTGAGATCTTTAAACTTGGAAACATCATAGGTTGCCACTTCCTCATTTGTAGCATCAAACTTCTGAGGATTCTTTCCCATGGCCTCAGGGGAAAAGGTTGAGAAGGCTTCTAGAATTGGTCTGTACCCAGTGCAACGACATAAGTTTCCCTGAATTTTTTTGCATCCCAATTTCCAACTCATAAGAATATTAAAATAAAATATATTTTTAGACTTTAACTGCTCAATGTATTCTTTTTAAAGATATTAAATATTTTAGAATTACAACACAATTGATATGCATTTTTCTTAAGACTTGAAATAAAACGGAATTCATCACCAAGTAGGAAAAGTTAGTCAGAGTAACAGTATTTGATTGACCAATCCCCAAAAGAAGAAATTAAATTCCAGTCCTTATAAGGATAATGCATCATAGACTGATATGACTTAGCCTAAACAATTCTATGAATTGTTACTTAATAATAGTTAGCCCTAGCTATAAAGACTGGGGAGTCTGAATCTATATATAGGTTAAAGGTTTAAAGGCATGTTCACGGTACAATTTTTATAGGACAGCTCATTGAACAAAAATTGACTTTAAAGCTTTAATAGTATTGGTGGTAGGGATGTTTGAAAAAATAAAAGCCAAAAAAAACATCAGAAAGATTTTAAAAATAAATGTTTGTTTTTGACAAATCCGAATGACATGACACCNCGCAAAGGGACGGTCCCTCTCTATAGACACTAATTGATGTTTTTTTCAGTAACAGCAGCCCAATAACATTTAAATTTATTATATTTTAATGTCATTATGTGTTCGTTAATTGTAAATGTCATTATTTTGTATTTCTTTTTGTTTTTTAACTTTCTATTTCTAAAATAACACTATTTTATTGCATTCAAAATTGGTACACATTTTACATGTTTTAATAGGAAAAACGTAAATTTCTTTCTAATTCAAATATCAAAAGTTTTTATATTTTAGTACATAATAACGAACACATAATGACATCAAAATATAATAAATTTAAATTTTATTGGGCTGCTGTTACTGAAAAAAAACATCAATTAGTGTCTATAGAGAGGGACCGTCCCTTTCTGCTCAAATTCTGAACGAAAAATCGGCTTTTTCTCTGGCCACAGTTGTCTTTGAAAAGTAAGACTATTACTGCAATCAAAAGCAAATAGGCTGTTTAGTTTACCCTGAAATTACCCAAAAAGAGAACGGTCCCTTTAAAATTTGTGTAAGCTGATTATTTTCAATTGTGGTTTCTGTACTAAAAAGACTAACGCATTTCTACTGCAGGAAAAATATACGAATTGTTAGAATTAAAAAGCAGAGCTGAAAACTTTAGAATGGTGGATATCGAGATCCTCTCTTCTTCTTAATATCGAGACTAACCTAATCTTTTACTTGTATCCTGAAAAGTGCATAAAATTCAACCAATCAGAGTCGCGTATATAAAGCCGATAAATTTGAAATTTGTCGCGCCTTTAAGACTATTGTACAAAAACGGGAGGGACTCTCTAAATTAAATAAAACAGGTTTTGATTTTTCTCTCCTATATCCAAGAAAGAACGGTTTAAGAGAAGAAAATCATAAGTGTGTCCAGTGGATACTCAGATTAAGTAATTGGGATTTAAGTATATCCCATTCTAAAGTTTTCAGTTCTAGAAAAACGACAGTATCTTCCACATTATTTTAGATAACGATATAAAGGGACAGTTTAAATTAGGCTAACAGTCCCTTTAAGCTTGTCCAATTTGGAACTTAATATACTCTCTGCATAGGGCTGGGCACGCTCCTCCTTTTTGGTAATCATTTTTTCCATTCCGTTCTGTACTGTTCTGTACTGGACTGTTCCGTTCTGTATTGTTCTGTACTGTACTGTTCCGTTATGTACTGTTCTGTACTGTACTGTTCCGTTCTGTTCCGTTCTGTACTGTTCTGTACTGTTCTGTACTGTACTGTTCCGTTCGGTACTATTCGTTCCTATGTCAGAACGATCGTTCTCCAGGAACGACGCCCAGCCTTATCCCTGCAAACATTTTATATTATATATTAAAGGCCTAAATTGTTGAATTAAAAGTGTTTTCTTTTATTTTAAGGATGTTCATTAGAATTTCTAGTGAACATTTGTTAAAACGTTACATTCTGAACAGAACCACCATTTCAGAGTAAAGTTAGCAATGAGGATTACATATGTGATTTTATATCTTAAAAAAAGATCAATTTTTGTCACCTTTCTCAGATTGGATATCATTTTGAACAAACAAAAGTTTAAAGAGTAAAATTTGTCAACACGAATGTGATGCAGGTTTGCTGTAAATTACTACGACTGTNAAAGAATTACAAAATAATGACATTTACAATTAACGAACACATAATGACATTAAAATATAATAAATTTAAATGTTATTGGGCTGCTGTTACTGAAAAAAACATCAATTAGTGTTTATAGAGAGGGACCGTCCCTTTGCGCTCGAATTCTGAACGAAAAATCGGCTTTTTCTCCGGCCACCGGTTGTCTTTGAAAAGTAAGATTATTACCAATCAACAGCGAATAGGCTGTTTAGTTTACCCTGAAATTACCCAAATAAGTGAACGGTCCCTTTAACTTAATATCTAATCCACAATTGATCAAAGCTTTGTATGGTACTGTTGTGAATCGGGGATTACCATCCTTGCATGAAAGATCACTTTAAATCTCAACCTTTAGTTGTAAAAGCACACTCAGTTTCAAATACATTACATTTAAGGAAAACTTTATGAATTATCAGCTGGAAGATCCAGTACTACCTTGATTCAGGTGAAACAACAATTTTTATTATTTAATGTCGCACATTGAGAAGGGAAAAGTGTAAGTTTTTGAAAATAAACTGAAGATTGCGTCAACGATCAAATTCTAATATTGAGATTGTTAACAGAACGAACTAATAATGTTAATAAACGAACTAAGAATGTGTTCCAAAAATAACGTCAACTTTAGATAATTTTTTATTTTATGTGGCTTGAAGCTAATTTTTATAACCCTGGTTTAGTTTCTTCGAGAGTCTGGATTAACTGGAACCAAACTAAGCTGTGGGGAGGGAAACTGTGGAGCATGTACTGTGCTTTTAACCAGGTTCAAATCTTTCCTTTTCGATCTGAAATCTATTATTGGTTTAACTTTATTAATTGCTCCTGATATTAAGGTACCCACCATAACTAATCCAGACAATATTTTTGTTTGAAGCGGAAAACAATAAAAAAAATTAATGCAAACTGTGTTTCAGACCTTCCAACAATGGAGAAGAATTTAACCGGTTCACTGTTAATGCTTGCACTACACCCATTGGAACCTTGCATGGGACCGAAGTCACTACTGTTGAAGGATTAGGTTCAACTCAAACCTGCCTTCACCCTGTGCAGGTCAACATTGCAAAAAAAGAAAACCCTCCTAAATAAGATTTTTTGGCAAAGTATCAAAAATTACAGTGACTGAAAACGCAATAAAACGATACAAAAGCCAAAAATTCTACAAAACTTATATCTGTTACGTTGTTTTTAAAAACGAGTAAACAAGTAATAAAATTAAAATTAAAAATAAAAATATTTTTTAGGAGCGTCTATATTCCTGTCATGGATCTCAATGTGGGTTCTGTTCTCCTGGTATGGTTATGTCAATGGCTGGAGTACTGTGTAAGAATAGTACCCCTGATATAGAGGATATTGTTACGGGGCTTCAGGTAAATATGAAATATAGATAATGTTACCAGGCTTCAGCTTTATTGGGTAGGGTACATGACGTTAAAACAGCAATCAGTGTTTAAAAAGATCTAAAATTGCCCAGAATTTTTCTGTTAGTGAAGCTTTAGATCTGAAAAGATCGTAAAAAATGGAGGTGTCATGTCATTCGAATTTGTCAAAAACAAACATTTATTTTTAAAATCTTTCTGATGTTTTTTTTGGCTTTTATTTTTTCAAACATCCCTACCACCAATACTATTAAAGTTTTAGAGTCAATTTTTGTTCAATAAGCTGTCCTATACAAATTGTACTGTGAACATGCCTTTAAACCTTTTACATATACATATATTCAGACTCCCTAGTCTTTATAGCTAGGGCTAACATGATTAAGTAACAATTCATAGAATTGTTTAGGCAAAATCATATCAGTCTATGATGCATTATCCCTATAAGGACTGGAATTTTATTTCTTCTTTTGGGGATTGGTCAATCAAATACTGTTACTCTGACTATTTTTTTCTAGTTGGTGATGAATTCCATTTTATTTTAAGTCTTAAGAAAAGTGCATATCAATTGTGTTGTAATTTTAAAAAAATTAATATCTTTATAAAGAAAACAGTGAGCAGTTAAAGTCTAAAAATATCTTTTATTTTGATATTCTTATGAGTTGGTAATTGGGATGCAAAAAAATTCAGGGAAACTTATGTCGTTGCACTGGGTACAGACCAATTCTAGAAGCCTTCTCAACCTTTTCCCCTGAGGCCATGGGAAAGAATCCGCAGAAGTTTGATGCTACAAATGAGGAAGTGGCAACCTATGATGTTTCCA